TTGTTTCATATATGGTTGTGAAATTGTTTCATATAATACTTAATGAAATTGTTTCATGTATTTCTTTAACATTAATGAAACTGTTTCATGTATTTCTCTAAAATTAAAATAATGAAGATGATAATATCTATGATTAACACTCTCCACAATAAAAATGATTAATCAACCTCTCATAATTACAAAAAAATGAACAAAATGAAAAATTATGATTGGTTGAATGCGGTTTGCACGGTTTGTACAAATTGAGTGGTTTGCATTTGATCGCTCCCCTATAAATATATATGGGGTTGGGTTCGTGTGAATAACAGAGTTAAAGTGACAAGCATAAAAATAGATCTTTACTCTTGGATGCACATTAGGACGAAATATACCAGATCAATCCCCGTATTAAACGTCATTCATAGATGAGTTTGAAATTAAGGTGTTCAAAGGTCCAAATCCCTTCTTATACTTCTTAAGTTTCTCATCTTAACTTTTTTTCTCATACGATGTTTCGCCTATATATATATATATGTGTGTGTGTGTGTGTGTGTGTATTATATAGATGGAGGAACAAATGAAAATAAGGTTAAAGTAAGAGAACAAAAAATGGTTAAATCATATTGTAATGTGATTTTGCACTGAAATCACAATATGATTTCGGAACATGGCCCGCGACCTAGGTTGGGCATAATCACATAAGGTTTTACATGTGAGGTTAGTGTAAAATTACATGAGATTTGGTCGTTCTCGTGTTCTTCTATTCGGTTACCGTTCTTATTTGAGTTAAGATTCTGGAGCAGATTACAATCTTCAAGATTCTTTAGCAGATTAAAATCATTTCTTCGTTTCATCATGCTCTTAGTTCATGACGCATCAAATACAAAATGCACCGGGTTCATTTTCCTCTTCATCAACTAAATGGATCAACTACACAATCAATGCAACAGGTTCACCATGAAAACGTTTCGGTTCACATAATTTATTTGCAACATGAACCAGTTTCACGTTCATGAAACCTGTTTCATTTCTGGATTTTTTTTGTTCATCTACGATTTGATGATTTCATTATACACTTCAATTGTTTCATCAAGACCTGTTTGCTGATTCTTAAATATTACAATATATGAAATTCAAATTTTTAATATTATAATATAATTAAATATTTAAAAGTTACCATTTATATAATTTTATTTATTACGTTTCCTTAATTAAGATTTATTAATAACTTCCATATTTAATAGAAAATATTGTAAATGACTGAAATACCTTTATTGATTAATTTTAATTAGAAAAAAATGAAAATTTTCTATTGGTCGAAATTGGTTTACACGGTTTCTTAGAAATGCATGGTTTTCATTTGAACGTGCCCCTCTATATATATATATATATATGTGTGTGAGAGAGAGAATATAAAATTTGCTCGTAGCTTTTAAAAAGTATTTGTTTTGAATTATAAATTCAAAAGTTAAACGAGGGGTAATAAAATAGAGAGAGAGAGAGATCGATAATCACCTTTATTTGAATGCGCTGGTGGCATATCCTCACATTCTTCTCCAAAGCAAGAAAAAGGTGAAAACCCTCGCAAGAACCTGAGATTCTGTTCATACGAAAAAGGAAAACAGACAAATATGAACTGAACATTTCAGAAAACTCATCAATCACAAAAGGTGAAGCAAGTGGCGTCTAGATTAAGGGAGATGTTCAACTAATTCACTGAAATGCACACAAATTCCAACACTTTCCATACGTGTTCATCCAAAGCTTCATGGGTTTTGTTCTTCAGTTACTATTACTATGTCTTGCCTGTTCGATCTCATCTCTTCTGTGTCAAGTTACAGGTATGTTATCTTGATCTTTTACAGTAGTTTTCAAGATTCTCCTTGTTTTCAACAAACATGCACATAATCCAACTAAATGAAACTAGCAATGATTTCTTCAATCATATGCAAAATTCTTGAATGACATCCAGTTTAGATGAAAGCTTTTTTTGGGTATCTAGGCCAACGTATGCCCCCTGACTAATCCCCTGACGATCACGAATGACTTGGAGTCAACCTCCGTGGCCACAAGGGGTTTGGGAACAAGGGAAGGTGAGATTTCCATTATATGGCACGAGGCTTAGCCAGTGTCCCACAACCTAAGTGGTTAGTTTAGATGAAAGATTTAGGTCTCAATTATTGGAGTTCCCAAACTTAAACATAGAAAAATGGAATTGAATGTGATGCAAATTTTGATTTGAATGCAGAATTTGTGAGCATAGACTGTGGAGGAACAGGTAATCATACTGACCCAAAAACTGGGTTAGCATGGGTTGTGGATTCTGGGATCATTGGCCATGGAACATCAGTGGAGCTTGAGAACAAGAACGGGAGCTCGATTCAGTATCAAAGGCGTAGAGACTTTCCTATAGACAACAAGAAGTATTGTTATACTCTAAATACGAAAGAAAGAAGGCGGTATATAGTCCGCACAACCTTTTTGTATGGAAGTTCTGAAAGTGAAAACACATACCCCAAATTTCAGCTATATCTTGATGCAACTAGATGGGCAACTGTCAGTGTTTTGGATGCATCGACAGTTTATATCAAGGAGATGATCATCAGAGCACCTTCGAGTTCGATTGATGTGTGCTTGTGCTGTGCCACAACGGGTTCTCCTTTTCTATCCACACTTGAGCTCCGGCCGTTGAATCTTTCAATGTATGCTACTGATTTTGAGGATAATTTCTTCTTAAAGGTAGCAGCCAGAGTTAATTTTGGTGCTGCAAGCACAGAAGCCTTAAGGTATTCTCCCACCAGGGTTATTTAGACAAATAACCTTCTGACATATTTTTTAAATGCATTTTTTAGGCATTCTTCTGTAAAGTAGAGTCGTTCTTAAATTTGTCAGAATCTGTCAGAAGGTCATGCATTTAAGAAAATCTGTCAGAAGGTTATTTTCCCACCAAAATTCATGTGACAAATGAACACAGCATAAACATATTGAATCAGTTTGACATTTTTAACAGGTACCCAGATGATCCATATGACCGAATCTGGGATTCAGATCTTGCAAAAAGGCAGAATTTTCTTGTGGGAGTGGCACCTGGTACGGTGAGGATTAGTACAACAAAGGACATAAACACAAATACAAGAGAATACCCACCAGTGAAAGTCATGCAAACTGCAGTTGTAGGCACTCAAGGGACTCTCAGCTACAGATTAAATTTGGAAGACTTCCCTGCCAATGCTCGAGCTTATGCATATTTTGCAGAAATCCAAGACTTGCCGAAAAATGAAACTCGAAAGTTCACAATGAAGGAGCCCTATGTACCTGACTACAGCAATGCTGTGGTGAATATTGAAGAAAATGCCAATGGAAGCTACACCTTATATGAACCTAGTTATATGAACGTATCACTATCTTTTGTCCTATCATTCTCTTTTAAAAAAACACAAGATTCTACTCAAGGACCACTCTTGAATGCAGTTGAAATCAGTAAATATCTACCAATTGCATCAAAGACCGATAGAAAAGACGGTAAGACAATGCACTTTGTTCTAGTTGACTTTCCATCCTTCACCATGGGAGACTATCTGTCAGATTATGTGAAACTAATGACAAATTGCATACAAGCTAATTGATTTGTTTCTTCTAATTTCCTCCATGGAAGTGAGTGCTCTTAGTGCCTTTTGCTCGATGCTTGAAATCGGGGATTTGATTGAAGAAGGGGATCCATGTGTCCCTGTTCAGTGGGAATGGGTGGCTTGTAGCTCCAATACTCCTCCCAGAATCACCAAAATGTAAGTTCATATAGCAGTGAGTTGTAGCTGCAGAAACACAAATGTGCTTCACATCCTTGTATCTTGCCAAACTAGAGAATTATACTAATGTGCTTGAACAGCGTATTATCAGGCTCCAACTTGGATGGTGAAATTCCATCGGGGATTAAAGACTTGCAAGAGTTGACAGAGTTGTAAGTATAGGTGAACTACAATGAGAGATTAGAAGCCAATTTATTGCATTAACATAACACCGGCTACTGGTTTGTTTCTATCAGGTGGTTAAATGGGAATTCCCTCAATGGAACTATCCCTGATATGAGTAACCTTGAGAAATTGAAAATTATGTAAGCTCTCCTACTTCGGTTTCATGGTAGTATACATTGTAAAAAAGAGCAGTGTCCGCTGACTACATGCGTTCTTGGTGAAATTGCAGACATCTAGAGGACAACAAGCTGACTGGTCCTTTACCATCTTATTTTGGTAGTTTGCCAAACTTACAAGAACTGTATGTGGTGATTTTCACATCTTAACTTCTATTTATATTGGAGAGAATAAGTATGTCTATTGAAGTTGAACTCTTTCAGTTGGTCCATTACTAAGTTGACATTTTTCATAGTATCATGAACTGCGTGGTCACTTTACTCAATCCTCATGCAGGTATATACAGAACAACTCTCTGAGTGGGGACATTCCTCCAGCATTATTAACCGGGAAAGTAATATTCAAGTAAGCAAGCTTCTTTTTTGAATTCGAGAGAGTGATGTAGTTCGTTACTTTATGGCCTCATGCAACTATGTATCACCATTAGAACTTAAGGGTTGGGTTCCGGTGAGAATGAAACTTATGGTGAGGAGGGTAAGAAGGGGATCAATCCTAATTGACGAGAACCACTAGATCAACACTAATGAGATACACTAGATGAATTCCCTTCTAAAGCGCAATTCATGGGTTGTTTTGGGATTAAAAGTGATCAACGGTCCAAATCCCTTCTTACACTTCTCATCTTTACTCTTATTCTCACATGATTCTTCATCTAGAATTTAAATATCAACATTGTGCGAGGATCAGAGGAAAGGATGACATTTGACAATCAATGTGAAACTCTTCCATGTCCCAAGATCACATACATACATTCTGTTATTGTGTCTGCATTAAAGACCAAACTAATATTAATAGAATATAAGGTACAGTGAAAACAGAAGGACTGGGAATCGGAAACACTTAAAGCATGTATTATCAAACATAAACTGTACATCGAAAGAGCCATTTGGTTAAGTAAATCATCATGGGATGAAGTACTCCTTCCAAGTGTGATAGTGCCAGGCGTTGAAGTGCCTGTGTTTTTGTTTCTCTGGGAGAGAGAGAGAGGGCACAACATTCCACAGCACATCTTCTAAACTTCTTTAAGGTTTGTACTGCAGCTATGAAGGTAATCATGGTCTACGCAGGCATGCAAAGCAAAAGTCACGCTACAAAGTGATATTGGGAATTTCAGTTGGAATACTGGCAGTTCTGTTTATTCTGTTCTTAGGAAGCCTGTTACTACTGCGTTATTTTCGGAGAAAGGCACCTACTCAAAGACGTGATGACAAAGGTAAGTAATCGTACAACCTTTCCTATTACTTCTGCTTGTGATCTAATTGATCTGATTGGCAAATGCCAAACTAATCATTACTACAGGAGCAATTTCATCCCGCAAGAGCACCATAGGCTTAACTGCCTACTCAGCCGCAAGATGTGGAAGTTTAATGGATGAAGGAGTATCATATTATATATCACTTGCAGAATTAGAAGCAGCTACTAGTGGATTCTCAAAGAAGATTGGTAAAGGAAGTTTTGGGCCTGTATACTATGGAAAAATGAAAGATGGGAAGGAGGTGGCAGTGAAAATGATGGCTGATTCATCTAGCCATGGAGCCCAGCAATTTGTTACAGAGGTAGTAATTGCAAACAACATTTGTAAGTTGTTTTGGTCTTCGAGATATCATATATGAAACATACTTATCAGAAAAGTATAGAACGCAGAAAATTACAAGATATCTTGGTGAGAATTGGCAAGGTCAAGGATAGCATTGGGCTTAAATTTTAAACTCCACTAGATAATAGTGTTTGTGCAGAAATTTCTCGGAACTACAATAGAGGTAGAAGATGGAGGGCCATTGGGAGGCCCATGACATATATTTAATATACGAATACCCACATACATACTATCAGGATGCAATAATCTAATTTTGGAAAAGTAGTATGGAAAGATACCAAATAGTTCTGACTTATTATTATCTTAAACAATAAGTAACTTGAAATACTACTCACAGGTTGCTCTCTTGTCAAGAATCCATCACAGAAATCTAGTACCCTTAATAGGATACTGTGAAGAAGAACATCATCGTATGCTGGTTTATGAGTACATGCACAATGGAACTTTGCGAGATCACATACATGGTATGTCAACTAAACCACTATCTGCAGTTTTTATATGTGCTCAGATAAGTTATATGAGACAAACATGAAAACAGATAAGGTCAACAAGAAACACTTGGACTGGCGAGCTCGTCTCCGTATTGCAGAAGATTCAGCTAAAGGTTACTCAAGTTCTGCTTTATGATATCTTTACAGATTTTCCAATAAAGTGTGACAGGAAGATCGATATATTTCAGGCCTTGAGTATTTGCACACTGGATGCAACCCAAGTATCATTCACCGGGACATAAAAACTAGCAATATTCTTCTAGACATTAATATGAGGGCAAAAGTATCAGATTTTGGACTTTCAAGACAAACTGAAGAAGACTTAACGCACATATCAAGTGTAGCACGTGGAACCGTAGGCTACCTTGACCCAGAGTAAGCTACACTTAAATATTTTTGTACTTGCTACTGATCTTACTCAACCTCAGCTTAACCATGTCTTCCTTCACCAGGTACTATGCTAACCAACAGTTAACCGAGAAAAGTGATGTCTATAGTTTTGGAGTCGTTCTCTTAGAACTTATCTCAGGAAGAAAGCCTGTATCTATAGAAGATTATGGAGCTGAATGGAGCATTGTTCACTGGGTAAGTTCGTTGATCTTTAGGCATATTATCTAGAAGCTGCTATAATCCACATATTCCACAGCAATTGGAAGTACTAAGTTTGATCTCAAGAGTGGATGTGCGTTTAATGGAGGGAACATGAAAAAGAAGTTCTACTGGTTTTTATGCAGGCACGGTCCCTGATTCGTAAAGGAGATGTTGTGAGCATCATAGATCCCATGCTAACACAGGATGTAAAGATCGAGTCTATATGGAGAATTGCAGAAGTTGCAATCCAATGTGTGGATCAACACGGATCTTCCAGGCCAAGGATGCAAGAAATCATATTAGCCATACAAGATGCAATCAAGGTCGAAAAGGGGAATGACGGGAAGCTAACCTCAGAAAGTTCAAGAGCACAATCTTCACGGAAAACTTTATTGACTACCTTCCTCGACATTGAAAGCCCAGACCTGTCTAATGATTGCCTAGTCCCATCTGCTAGATAATAGATAATGTGGTGTATATTCATCTAATAACCCTGAAGAAACTGATACATAGATCCCTCCTGCTTTATTCTTTTTGCGGGAAATCAAATCGTAGTTGTTTTCAAGCTTAATTTATTAAGACGAGAGAAACTTTACCAGAAGATGAATAAAATAGGGCTAGATTCGTTTTTTGAAGAACTGGTCAAGATTACATCAACTAAATGGATTTTTAGATATAAAACTTTTGTTGTCTATTCATTGCTTCACCCATGATGGTTCATCTAAGAACATGCAAGTATGGGACTCACTACTCAAACCGAGTAGCAAACTCCCACCACATTAGCAAGTTCGTCTTGGTTTGTTGAACTCATTGATTCCGTTTGGCCATATCTTGAGTCAAACAACAATTTTAAATTCATAATTTGCATGAATTATGTTATCAATGCATGTAACTGTAATATTTGCTCTATAATTTAATGTGCTTCATCGAACATTTCATGCAATCCCTAATTTAACTACTCTCTTTGATCTTAGAACTTATGCGTAATTCAGAACGGATGGCATGCAACTTATCCTCATGAACATATCGCATAATTAGTATACCAAAAATAAGCCGATTTCCAGTTTTAAACGTTCATGTATTATTAAATTAGCACATAACTGCAATATGTATCAAATTATGCAGAATTCTAAAGCTACCATGAACAAGTCAAGTACTGTTTGAAGGATGTAGCCTACCTGAACAGTCGGAGCAAGTAGAGGGGGTGTAGCGTATGTGCAGTTTATACGGAACTAACATGATGTCATCTTTAGATCACACATCTTCTTGCGATCAAAATAAGGTATCTGGTGCTCATCGATTTAGGGTTTCGTCGTAAAAAATGGAGACAGCGAAGAAGCTGAACACAAGCTTTTGGCGGTTTAGGTTCGCTCTAATTTTTTGAAGGGGCTGTTTATTTAAAACAATTTATCTTTTTTTTTAAGTGTTCATAAGTTAAAAATGTTTACGAGATTCCAGAAGCCGGAAAAACTCACAATCAAACAAACACATCACACATAAAGAAAAACGTGATTAAGGGATGGATGACGGAGCAACGATATAAACTGATAAAGGGTATTACGATTGTAGCATAAAAAAGTAACATATTCAATGGTTGACTATATAAGAAAGTGAACATGATAAGCGTTAGATTATAACAAAGCAAGAGTGTTAATTTCATTCCAAACTAAAGTAACTAACATGCAGGGGCGGACCTGGTGTGGTGGCATGGGTGGCACGTGCCACCATATTATTTCGCCACCGAAGGGTAAAAATTTTAGATTTGTTAACGGTGCTACCGTATCGTTTTGGAAGATGCTACCGTATTTTCCTGAAATTTAAACAGTGCCACCGTATGAAAAAATTTATGGGTCCGTCCCTGCTAACATGCATACCAACTGTATCAATTAAACCAATATTTGTAACATCGATACCAACTTAAGTCGTTGGTAATATCATATCAAGTATGCAAACTTGTTTAATATATAGTATTAGATATTGTATACCATGGTGTTACCCTACTGTATCGTACCAAATTTGTTTGTTAATTATTAAATAGTTTTTTTTAACTATTTAATTATATACGTGTCGATCCTCAATTGAAATACTCGATCTAAATATTTAATCAAACCTTATGTATATTTGGTCATGACAACAACTTAAGCATGCAATAGTGTTATTTATGGTTGAATGCATATGGTTTCAAGTTGTTTGTATGTGTGATTAATAATCTAAAAAAAGTACCATCCTTGATTTGATTCACGTTGCTTGTATGTTGAGATTCATCGGCTTAAAAAAAAATGAAGTTTCCATCACTGATATATAATTGAAAACACGCATGGTCCAATCTTTATTATTTGTTGTTTCCCCCCTCTGCAATGTTGATACAACACTACTACCAACATGCACTGACCAAAAAAAGTTGGTATCAAGTAAAACTGGTTGATACACAATATGTAATTTTCCATACACATTATAGTTCACTGGTATACGTATATTGAATGGAAAATTTTATAGGGTAAATACCAGACCACCTATATTGTATGTATCAGAGTATTGGGAGACAAGAAAGGTCTATGAGAAGAACCTATAAGTTGCATAAATGAGGATGTTTTAGATGGACCATGAGAGGACATCAAACGAGATTTTTAGACAGACTCTTATCACATAAAACTTCAAACGGTGAAGATTGCAGTGGTTCAGACATATTCACATAGGAGACGGACGGCGGCATCGGTGAGGAGGATAACATACATGACAATAGAGGGAGTGAGGAGGATGAGCAGGCCGAGAATGGCGTGCGATGAACAGGTGAGGATATATCTGCGCTCCTTGGACATTTTCAAAAAGACAGTATCTAATAAGAGTTATTCGAGAAACAAACTAGGAAATTTGACTACGTATACGGGGCGTGTAGCAGTGTAGATGGAAAAAAAAAAGTTAGAGAGGTTAAGGGTGAGACACGAGAAGGGTTAGAGGCTCGCACGATGGGCTATTAGCTCAGTGGGTAGAGCGCGCCCGTTGGCAGATATGATATACGAGCCTTACGACTGAATGAGAGTTATGAGCCTTTCCTTATTGCTTTTAATTTTTTTATGTTTTGATATGCATATCTCTTTGTTTCTGATTTGTTGCTTGCTATTTATTAGTTTTAATTATTCTTTCATTTTTGTCTATATACTTGTATAGAAGTCGAATATTTTCATAAAAACAGTCACTATAGTTTTCATATACGTCTAAGTATATCTTGCTTTGATATCCTACTTTAATGTATTGGAGCTTAGTTTGGCTGATTTTATTTTTATAAGAGAACTATAAATAATATAGGCAAAGACTTGGGATCACGTAAGACCAGTCTGTTTTCATGAGACCCGTGAGATCACTTTTTTACACTTGAAATTTCACAGCCAAACGTTGTGAAGGTAACATCCACAGTGTTTTTATTGTGAAAGTTGTAATTTTTTTTTACCTTCATAGTGTATTTTTGTAAAGTTTCAAGTATAAAAAATGATCTCATTAGTTTTACGAAACAGACTAGTTTCATGTGAACCTATAGACAAAATCATAAATATATTTTTATAAGGAAACTATAATTATAAATAGTATCAGTCGTTTTTTCAGGTCAAAATACGTCGTCGTGTTGAGGTGTTCTCACCGACTGGGCAAGGATAGTATGTTACAACATCGTCGGTCGTCTTCTAACGTTCTACGCCAATTCAACAACACGAAACCTACAAATCACCATTTTCATGATCGTCTAATCTCCAGATTGTTGTTAAAAATCTAAGGTAAACTCCTAATTTAATTATTTTGTAGGCTAAATCAAAGTCCTAGACTGAAGAAATCGATGTGACGGTATTCTAATGTGTGCGCTTGTGTTTGCATATCTAACCGATTTCTGTTGTTATCGATAGAAATGGAAGAGTACAATGATCTGGAGCAGGTTACGGGAAGCCCAACATCTGGAGAGAGTGGATTTGTTCATGTAGAGCCAATTGATTCCGCCTCAATAGATGGTAGTCCAATTAATCAGGTAAATTTTGTGTCTACTAATTTTAGACATTTTCGTTTCATGTCCACAACTGGTAGCATCTATAATCTTGGGCAAATGATTTTCCAGCATTATCGTCCCTCGATTTGACTTTTCGTGTTCAGCTGAATACTGTTGGCTATAATTCCGAAAAAAAAACAGGAATATTTGATAAATACATTAAACTTATAGATGTGTGAAACTATTGGTGTTGAATTTGTAAAACCATGCATATCAATTTTACATTTGAAAGTAAGAAGTTTGACTTCAAAAGTCAAAACTATTGTCTCTCAGTTATTCAGAATGGAAGAGTCTTGGTCTAGTTAGGCAGTTAAGTTTTTACATCTTCTAATGATTTTGTTAAGTTCCAGTAGTGATTTATAAACTCTGATTAAGTTTGATTATTTACACTATTTGGGAAAAAAATTTTGATTACCGGCAACCTCATCTGGCCCCACAAGGAACACGCCTCCAAGACACCAATATGAGAAAAGGGGGGGGGGGGTGGCTCACTCAGCAGCTAAAGCTAGGCGTGGGGGAGGGTGGATAGAAAGAGGACCTGTTCTGTATTTGGACAAAGTCATCCCACCTCTTTGCCAGCTGGGCTATTGGTGTTAAATTTGACTATTGGTTTGTTGCCAAGTTATTTTAGTAATTTGAATTGTGCATTATGCTCAGCTTAATTGTTGTATTTGGAGGAATATTGATCAACAACTTATTGGCAAACTACATTTTGATCATCTTGAGTAGGATGATGGAGTGGTGGTAACAAGCATAGATACTGTACAATATGAGTCAAGTGATATAAGGATGGCTGAAGATGGGGGAAATGAGGAGTTTGTGGATTGCCCAGATGACTTGGTTTCTTATGATGGGATGACTAGTTTTGTTGAAAGTAGCGAAGGAGAAGTAGTTCCTGAAAACCAACAGACATTTCGGGACGATACAGAAGATAATCGGCATGGTTTTTCTGATGGTGAAAGGGAAATCTTTTCGCACCACTATCAGGTTGGCCATCACCTTTTCCCCATAAAACTCCTTTTTGTACCATCATTAAGTTTTTTATATGGTAACCATTAGTGTTTGGGCCAACTTGCACGCACCTTGACTAATCCCATGGGGACATGAAGATTACAACCAGAAATTCCTTCATGGCCCTGAAGAGAGTCGAACTAGCGACCTATGGGGAGGAGCTCAAGAGCCTAGCCTCTATTTGTTGGTTGAGCTGGACGCACCTTGACTAATCCCATGGGGACATGAAGATTACAACCAGAAAATCCTTCATGGCCCCTGAGGAGAGTCGAACTAGCGACCTATGGGGAGGAGCGCAAGAGCCTAGCCTCTATTTGTTGGTTGATCTGGCCTTCAAGGTTACCATATTTAAGGTGGCTTGTATTTACTTAGTGTTTTTTTGCAGGAAGAAAGACGGCGGTTGATGATAGAACTTACTAATCTACACCATCAGCTGAGGGATCTTATTGAGAATCAACCATTGATTGGAGGAAATGACGGTGGGTTGTCTACTGATCAATTCACATCAGCAACAGGAGTGGGTGATGACAAGTCTTTCTTGCCTTTGCATGAGATGATAAATGACTGCTCTAGGTTTATTCAGCTTGCTTTGAGTAAACAGTCACAGACTGAGGTCACAATCAGAGAACTCTATTCCACTCTGGATGCAAAAGATAGAGAAATTGAGGATCTTAATGTAAAAGTCACTAAACACAATGTACCACAACTGTCATCTGTTGAGACCATTGCAGATAGGATTTTATCTTCGATTGCAACTGTCGTTGGTGGGGAAGAATTTCCTGATACATCTGTTAGTGGTAAACTGTCTCATCTTGAGAAAAGCACCTCCCTTTTAATTGAGAAGTACAATCACTTCCTTTCTGAAGTTGAGATGCTTAACCAGTGTTTGGCAGAGATTAAGTCGGAGTACCATATGCAAACTGACATGGATAAAGTTCTATTCACTGTACGAGAGGAATTGATCGAGTCGAAAAGAAAAGAACTTGAGTTGGCCAATAGAAGCAGCCATTTGGAAGATGAATACAGGAAGCTGATGGAACAAGTTGATAAAGGCAGAAAAACCATTGAGATGTTGTATTCAGAGATTGGAAAGCTCAAAGGGGAAGTTGAAGTAGAGAAGGCAAGGTTTAGTAATGCCAAAGAAAAGCTTGGCTTGGCTGTGACCAGAGGAAAATCATTGGTTCAGCAACGTGACTCATTGCGGCAAGTGATTGTGGAGAAAACAAATGAATTAGATAAATGTTTGATTGAACTGCAAGAGAAGTCAAGTGCCCTAGAGGCTGCTGAGTTGAGAAAGGAGGAGATGGAACATGCTGAAGCTTTAGCTAATTCACTGAAACAAGCTCTTTTGCAAAGGGACATGATCCTTGAGAAGTGTGAAGAAGTTTTGTCTCTCAGTGGTGCTGCAGAGGAACTTCAATCATCAGATATCATTGATAAGGTTACGTGGCTTTCAAATGAAAGAAGTAGACTGGCACTTGTCTCTTTGGAATTTCAGAAACTCACCAATGCATTATCCTCTCTAGAGTTACCTGAAGTCGCACAGTATACTGACTTGGGATCTCAAGTTAGTTGGTTGTTGGAATCATTTAATATGGCTAAATCCCAATCTAGTAAGCTACAAGAAGAAATTAATACAATGAAAGAGGGTACATGTGCGGAGATTGATCGCCTTACATTATTACTGTTGGTGGAAGCTCAGGAGAAGAGCTATCTTGAAGATGAGTTTGAAGATTTGACACACGAGTACAAAGAAGTTGTCAAGGAGAAGTGCCAAGTTTTCTTGGAGAAGGAACAGATGCTGACTCTGTTACTTGATGCATCTGGGATTTCAAGAGATGGTCTGGAGGACAGCATTAAACTACACTCTGACATAGCCATGGTGATTGACAGATGTTTATCAAGGATAAAAGAAAATGCCATAGGTTCTTATGAACCATCTCCTATGAAGACAGAATTACTTGAAAAATTTATGGACCTGTTGTATGAAAAGGATCAGGCGTGTAAGCTCTATGAGCAAATACTAGAGGAAGAGACAGTGGATAAGTTGGAGCTGGATAAATGCTTAAATAAGATAGCAAAGCTTTCTGAAGAACTTCATGTATTGAAAGATAAGAATGGGTCTCTGCAAATTGATCTTCAAAGATCTGAGGATAAAGCTATGTTATTGAGGGAAAAATTATCCATGGCAGTTAAGAAGGGCAAAAGTTTGGTTCAAGAGCGCGAGAGCATGAAACAGCAAATGGCTGAAAAGAATACTCAGATTGAGGCATTAAAGCAGGAACTAAAACAACAAGAAGCAACAATAAATGACTGCAGGGATAAGATTAGTAAATTGTCAAGTGATGTGGAACAAATCACAAAGTTGGAATCTGATCTTCTATGTTCAAAAGAAGAAAGAGATCAAATTGAGCAGTTCTTAGTGGAGAGCAATACTATATTACAGCGGGTAATTGAGGCCATTGATTGTATTGTTCTTCCAGTTGATTTAACAGACCCAGTTGAAAAGGTGAAGTGGTGTGCAGCTTATTTAAATGAATGCCAAGTTGCAAAGGCTCAGGCAGAGCAGGAGTTGGGAGATGTGAAAGACGAAGCCAGTATGCTGACTAGCAAGTTGACTGATGCCCTGACAACCGTGAAATCCCTTGAAGATGCATTATTGACTTCTGAGAAAAGCGTGTCACAGTTAACTGAAGAAAAGAGAGAGTCAGAAATGTTGAGAACACATATTGAAGAGGAATTACATAAAGCAATGGAGGAATGGAAGATTTCAAAGACACGGGCAGAACAAGAAGCGGGAGTATTACAAGAGGAAGTCGCTACATTGAACAACAAGTTGATGGAGGTCCTGACAAACTTGAAAACACTGGAAGATGTACAATCAGGTTCAGTGAAAATGATCACTCAACTAACAGAAGAGAAGCGAGAACTAGAAGTTGCCAAGTCTTGTGTCGAACAAGATTTACATAAAGCACTGGAGGATGCATCTTCTCAAATGAGTAAGTTTCAAGAGATTATTGCAAGTAAAAACTCGCTTCAAGAGGAGTTGTCACTTGCCGAAAAAAACATTTCTGCCGTCAGGAGTGAAAAGGAAGATGCTCAAGCTAGTACAGTTGCTTCTGAAAGGGAGCTACAGAAAATTAAGGAGGAAGTTTCTACTCATGTCATCAATCTGGATGAAGCCTACAGAACTATTAGGTCCCTTGAGGATGCAATGTCTCAGTCACAGACGGATGTTTCTCAGTTTTCCAATGAAAATGAGAAGGCACGTGATAATGTGAGTTTATTAGAGAGTGAAATAAAGAAGCTCAAAGAAGAAATTGCACACCATGAGCGCATGTTCGCGGATGCCTCTGCAACTATTAAAACATTAGAGGATGAATTGTTGAAGGCCAAGAACCATATTTCTGATGTTGTTGGAGAACAGAAGATTGCTGAACAGGAGATTTTAACCCTCAATACCCAGTTGAGTGGATGTAGGCAAGAGTTAGCATGTAAGCATGATTTTGAGCTCCCGAGCTTCCTTGACAATTTGCAAGTAATTTTGAAAGATGGAACTTTGTTGACCTTGTTCAAGCAAAGCTTTGAGAAAAAAATTGAAATCTTTATAGAAATGGACCGCCATCTTAAAGATATCATGGATTGTTTTGATTCAGAACAACTGAAAGATTATCCTGCCATTGAGGTAACATATATATCCTCCCAACATACATAATAGTCCTCATCTTGTTTGTTTGATTTTTTGGAAACTGTTCTGTATCACAATGGTCTCTTTGTTTATTCTCCTGTGGTTCGTGTATAGTAGCATGTTGTAACGTTCACATCTGTTTACTGGAGCATCTCTTCTGTTTATGTAAAGATTGGGCCAAAGATGAAAGTAGGTCGTCATATAGTGTACTTTTTTGAAGTTGATGAGTATGATGATGTTAGAATAGATTTTCTGACCATGCATACAGTTTATAGTTTACAGTAAGGAGTCCAAAATTCTAGTTGTCATCATCTTTACACCACAATTTCAACTTGGCGATCTGTTGCAGTTGCCTTGGGTCAGTGACATCCATGCTTTTCATTTGGATGTGGTCCAACCCTTTACTAATAATTAGAGAAAAGAACCCCACCTTATCTCTCAGTATGTGTTATCTCTACCTGTACCTAGCTCATCATGTCTACTTAGCCGTCTTTCCTAGGGGGTGAATGTCTTCATGAAAATCCTCTCAGTTTTACATTATCTGAACTTGACTTTTGGTTCAGCTCCTCACAGCACTTATTTTTACAGGAAAATTTTCAGTTGTCAACTTTCCTACCTGCTGGCTTTGAGAATGTTCTGAACACCGAAATTGATGCACCAGATGCTGAGGATATTGGTTCATTCGCTGGAAATTTTTTGGAAAAGTTTATCTTGAGAAACCAGATTCTTGCAGATGAATTTGGCCGTTTATCTACATCTACCAATGATCTGACGACATCGTTGTTGATAAAACTGGATGCAATAAGGAATACTGTGCCATTTATGGTTGAGCACACAAAAACTTTGCAAAAAAATGTTAATAATTTGCATATTGATAAACAAGCACAAGAGGATAGAGTGGTAGTTCTTGAACATGATATTAAAGTGTTGCTTTCTGCCTGTGCTGATGTTACCGAAGAAATGAAGAATCTAGTTGAGAATAATATTCTGGAAATTGATTCTGCCCATGGGTTGGACAAGTTGAATTCTAACCCCTCCTCAAATATTAGAGAAATTGTCATTGATAATGAGGCACTAGCAGATGTCAAGGTTGCTGAGGAGATGTTGTCTGCTGCTAGAAATGTTCAAAGTGTAATCGAACATTGTGTTGATGTAAAACAGAAGATGACCACCACGATTACAAAATTGCAGGCTGAGTTAGAGAAAACCAGGTCAATGTACGACAAAGCCAAAGAAGAAAATGACATATTCCAAAACAAGGTTTCTAAGTTGGAGCCCAAGCTAGCAGCATCTCCAAACCTGCACTATGAAATGGGTATTAAATTAGAAGATAGCCAGCCAAAAGAGGATGACTGGAATGAAAGAGAAGCAGAGTTATCCAAGCAGACTACTGCATTTATTGAAGATCATGGTAAAATATTGCCTGTATTTTTATGAGTACCCTTAGATTTGATTCCATTTTGTAGTAAAGAATGGCATACCACATGTACCATGCATTATCATCTTCTATGTCACTAACCATCATATATGTTAATTGTTTTTCAGAGGCTCAAAATGATCTTCTGTCAGCTTCCGAAATAAAATCCCTGTTTGATAAAGTTAATGGGATCACAATCCCTTTCCCAAACGCTGGAGCAGGAGACATACAACCCCATGATTTAGACCCCACCAAAAAGCTATTTTATATAGTTGATAGTGTAAATGAATTGCTGGATCAGATTACCTTGCTGTCTAATGCCAAAGAAGAGCTGCAGTCAACCCTTTCGAGACAGGCCCTTGAAATTGAACATTTGGAGGAGGAATTTGATGAAGCCCTCAAGGATAAAGACTCTGACAAGATAAAGGAATTATTTGAGTTATCAATAGGGCTGGAAAGTATTATTAGTAAATTTGGTGGTGACGAATCTATTGGAGGCAAGAAATCTGGTGATGTAGCAGCACTGCTCCCAGTACTAGAGAGGCTTGTTCAGAGCATGGTTTTGGATGGTGAAAATACAAAAATGGAAGCTCAAGACCTAGGTGTCAAGTTGCTGGAGACACAGAAGGTGGTAGAGGAGTTAGCAAGCAAGGTTAAATTACTTGAAGATTTAAATCAAAGTCGAATTGATTCACCAGACACAATACATGAAAAAGGCATCACTGAAGCATCTGCCTTGCCTCCACGGTCTGAAATATCTGAAGTCCAAGATCTGGTATGTATTATTGCATTTATGATTTTTCATGGCAACCGGTTTTAATCTTTACTGCACTTCTATTATGATGTTCTCTTTCCTTTTTGAAAATGATGTACACTAAACACAAGGCATAAGAGAAATTAGACATAGGGATTTCACTTCATTTGAACATAGAAGTATAAATAGTTCAAACAGAAACATTTTAAGGCACCCATGCTGTTTTCTTCCGAATTCAGCTTTATACAAGTTCTGTTTCTCATCAAGTGCGAGTAACAGACTTCCATAATGATATATTCATAGTTCATGTATCTCGTGAGCTTCACATGCATAATCTGTTTTATCCAAAAGGTAATAGCCTAGCATGCATGGATAGTCATCTTGATAGCAAAATAAGAAACAAGAGTTTTCTAGAGGAGGATAAGGTCATTGAATGATCAAACACTCGGCACATCTTGATTAGCTCCTGCTCCTGCCTATTGTGTAATTGATTTTGATTGGCTGTTACCTTGAAATACATAGAGACCATGCTTGTAGGCATATTCAGAAAGATTGCACCTTTAGCCCTTACGTATGAGGAAACAGTTATTAGTGAACACAATCAAAATCAATTCGGAAAGATTGCACCTTTCACCTTTTACTATCATCTTTTTTAATTTTAAGAGGGTTTTGTGTACAGGGACCAATTGGGAAAAGATCCATGCCATCTGCTGCTCATGTGAGAACTTTAAAGAAGGGATCAAATGACCATCTTTCCATAAACATAGATCAAGAATCTGATCGTTTGATTGATACACGGGAAACTGTTGAAGACAAACGTATTCTTCTAAAAATTTCTATTGTTCATTTACCATTACCTCCCATCATTTGTGAAACTTGTATTGAACTTCCATTCTTTCAGGTCTTATATTCAAGTCCCTGCATACGACTGGTCTTGTGCCAGCACAAGGGAAGATCATCGCAGATCGGCTTGATGGAATATGGTAAATACTTCAAGTGATTCATTTAATTTGTTTTTATTTCATATGGGGCCACACAAAGATGAATGAGCTTTAAAACCACCATATCCTAAAGAACATTGCAGTGACACCACAGAAAGCAAACAAACGTCATTTAAGATGATATATATAATGGGAATCAACAAGTTTGAACATCACCAACAGTTGGAGATTGATAGTGTGACCTTGTGGGTCCAATTTTGTTCAGTATAGAAGCGTTGTTACCATTTAACCATGAATACTTAAGGCTTTACCAACGCAGTTAGTTTCTAACGGTTTAATTTTGTACAGGGTTTCTGGTGGCCAAGCTTTGATGAGTCGGCCACGGGCAAGGCTAGGGCTCATAGCTTATTGGCTTGTCTTGCATCTATGGCTTCTGGGCACTCTTCTGTGACCAATAATACGACACTCCCAATGGAGATCGGCTTGTAAGTTGTACCACTTACATATATCCCTTAACCTTCTCCTTTTTCACATTATTTTCTTACTACTTATAGAAATCTAGACTTAGAAATGAACGGGCCCGTTGTTCTTTTGATTCTCTGCAATCGGATTTTTAGGGATTCAGAGACTCCATAACACTATAATCCTCTCCATGTTACTGGAGAATGTTTTACATTGAAATGTTAGCCATTCGGGGATCGACCCCAAAAGTTGTTGAGTTGAAAAATATATTATTACACCAATCAGTGGATCGAAAATGTAAATAGTTAAAAGTAGGTCGTTTCCCTAATAGCTCTCTGAAGCTCGTCCACAGAATATTGAAGCATAATGAATCTACTTTAACGAATATAAGAAATGGCTAAAAGACAATATATATATATATTCCAAGAGAAGTTCATTAATAAGGAACACAATTACAAGATTACAAGTTCAATGTACCCAATTTATATATCACTAATTAATTTCTCATTTTGTTGATCTGGTTAAGAGCAGGCTGTAGTATGTTGTAGAGCACCCAAAGAATAGCAGGTGCGATCACGATTAACAGAAGCTGCCCTCTGTTGTCATTAGCAGCCGCCTCGGCTACCGCCGCGATTTCGCCGGCTGCCGCCTCTGGTGTCGCAAACAGCCCAGATGATGTTGCCAAACCACCACCAATCCCAAGCCCAACCACCACTCCTTTCGTCCTCATCCTGTTGATCTGGTTAACCGCAGGTTGAAAAATGTTGTACAACACCCAAGCAATGGCCGGAACCAGCGGCAACAAAAGCGCGATTCCGCGGTTGTCTCCTTCCGCGATGTCTGCAATTTGCTGGGCTGCAAAAGCAGGGTCACATGAGCTCAAGGTGGAGAAGATTGCTCCGGCGATGGCGGTTCCCGCGATGGAGATGGTGGCGGGTTTTGAGGTGGTGAGAGATTTGGGAAGGTTTTGGACGGCGAGGATGGAGATTTGTTTGGTGGGGATTGGCTTTAAGGGCTTGATGCACTTGGCATTAAGCATTGCCATGGTGGTGGATAGTGTGGCTGCCATTGGAGGTGGTGGTGGTGGTGGTGGTGGTGGTGGTGGATGGCGATTGGTGGTGGTTGAAGATGGAATTTTGTGGTGAGACAGAAAAGGGGAGATGGGTGAAATTGGGCATATAGGAAGTGAGAACCAATGGGGTTAGTGTATTCAAGATTGTGGTCTTATCCGAATAAGGATTTTGGGGAGATATGAGCCTCATATTTAAGCACCCACTTCAGTTTTCTTATCACTAACTTGGCTACCATTGGATTAAACTTGGTCAAAGTCAATATGTGTATAAATCAATCCTACTCCCCAAGTACCCTGTTTTTGCTTTTGGTTTTTCTCGATTCTGTTTTTTTTTAACCATGGGTCTAGGTCAGTTTGTGTACACCTCAACTGATCTCATGGATCCTAAAAATAACAGACAGATAATTTATTTGTGGTCCTGAAAAGACTTGAATTGACAAACTATTTGATTCTATCATAATAGTAAATGAAGAAATAATTTTAACTTTGTAATCTTGATAGAAGGAATATCTCTGGTAATGTAGCTCTCAGGCGTGTATTTCAGTTGACAAATGGGAGGAGCGATTTGGAGACGGATTCGAACCCTTTTGCTAGCTTATGCTACTACGGTAACAGTGATATGTCTCTTCACATGTGGTTCCGGTAGGGGTCCATATGAGGCTGACTAGAGTTGCCGATAATCGACCTTTACTCGAGCATATGGTAACGCAAGACAGATTTAGAGTAAATTGGATCCTTCAAAGAAAATATTACATTGCTCGAATTTGAAACTAATACGAACGTTTTAAACTTACAAGAAAATAATTGCTATTGTATACTATAGTACAACATTAGTTTTTTAGTCTACCTTTATACCAGTACATATTAAGAGACAGGTTGACCACCTGATTTTATATAGTATTCATGGTAAATAATTTGATAAATATTCATTATTGTTAATTAAGGTTATTCATAATAAATAATGCCTAAAACAGGTGGTTCTCGACTTGAGCAATTGCTAGACAAACCACCCTCTACACAGTAATTGTTCTAAGCTAAAGGTATGAATTTGCCATCAAATGGTACTTGTCGAGTATCAGGGTTTTGATTTCAAGTCTTTTGTTAGAGATGTGTGTATGAGCAAAAACCATCTCATGATCAGAGAGAATACAAATACACAAACAAAAATTTTGAGCTCTTGCATTTTTCAACAATTCGAAGGAAGATAAAAGTCGTTCATAATGATATTACAATCTCGAGATCAAATTATAACCTTAGAAGAAAAGCCAACGGATTACAAAAATCAAATAACCAAACAAAAAAAACCCCAATCCAATCGAACTTGTGATTCAAACTAATTCTTCAAACAAGCAAACAACGAACCATTAGAATTGAAATTTATTTTATGAAACATGCATACCTTGATAACAATAGAGTAAAACAAATTATCCTTCTCCAACTGTCGATAATGCAGTCAAGTTTTAACGGGTGTATAACCTTAAATGATATGTTAATTAAAAATACGACTTTTTAACTTATAAAAAAGAAAATGACCTCATGTTCATCATAAGTTTATGGATTTCACCAAAAGGTCTTTATTTAACGGTATCGAGCATTTAGCTTCTAGAGAAGTCAATGGTTCAAATCTCACCAAAGATAAGAATAATATGTAAATTTATTTATTCATTTACCGTATATAAATATTATATACTTAAAAAAAAGTTAATGAATTTAATTAAAATCTAATTTATAACCGCGCAAATTGCATGAAAAAGTAACGTACTTTAATTTGATTCATATTTTAAATAACGTACTTTTAAAACTTCCATTTTGGTATCTAAGATGTAAAGTTTTAAACATTTAAGCATTCGGGTTACCGATTGAAGACATTTTAAATTTAAAAAAAAGACTAATTTTAGATTAAAAAAATTTATGTCTCTAACTACGTCGGCAAAAAATACTGAGTTAGATACCACATCACTTGTTTGCCACATTAGCATGATAGCCCGTTAATGCTTCAACCGGTTACCCACGTATTTAAATTTTTAAAACATTACATTTTAAATACAAAAATAGAAGTTTTAAAAGTACGTAACTTAAAATATGAATCAAATTAAAATACGTTATTTTTCTATGCAATTTTGACACTTATAACCATATATATGTAAAACCAGTTTTGGCGCTCAAATTTACCGAACTCATAAGGACTTACAGCTAGCACCCTTGTGGTTTGTCAGAATTCCAGCTAGAACCCAAATGTTTTCAGAGTAACATGAACCCCCCCTTCAAGGTATTGACATTTATAAATTGCACCCTCTTTTTTATAAACTATTACTTATGAGCCCTTGAACCTGTTTTTGTGCAACGGCTAACACTGGGTATTCAGTAATCGGCAACCTCGAAAAAGACAACATTATGGTCCATCCCATCAACTCGCTCGAACCCATAATCAAAGGTTATAAAGACTAGTTCGTTACCATTAGACCAATCCGTAAATTACAAGAATCAAAGAAAAGCATGAAAGTAGCCGAAAACCCACAAAATCACTGCAAAAAGAGTGTGTACAGCAACCCTGATACCTGAAGGGGTTTTCCAGCACTGAATTAGAAAAGAACTGTTTTTAGACGCACTACAATGTGGCATTGTTGTACATCAGAGCAAAAATTCAGGTACCTTGGCATCAATATTCAGATGGGGAGATCACATCATCGATCTTCAAGATCATTTTTACGACTTGTGTGGCAAGCAACATCTGCTGTTGCTTCCCGATCAAGGTTTCAAATACATTTTGTTCACGCATGTCGTTTGTGCCAATGTCATTGCAGTCTATACCACAGCAAGGATTGTTGTCCTACATAGCGTATCGAATATGTTATACAGCCACACAATAATGTCTGAAAAATGCACATAATTGATGCTGAATGCCATAAAACCAAACAAGTTAGCGTAGGGTCTCAACCACAAGAATCAAAGGTGAGTGCAAGTAGGCAATAAGATAGGTTACGTAACAAGTAACCGGGAAATATAACAGGTAGGATAACGATTCATTGTGTGTGCACAATGCAATGGTGTGCAAGTAGACAACGTAATCAGGAAAAACATTAGAAACTAATGAATATAGCAAATTAAACATGAAGGTACAACCAAAAGCCATAGTCACCTTAATTTGTTGCGATTTCACTGCAGAGAGTGTTTCGATGGGTTGCAGACCACTGTTTTCCGCTAGAGCCATGGGGACGGAATCCAAAGCATCTGCGAAAGCCCTGATAGCATACTATAGACAAATAGAAGAACATTCTTATTTTAGTGAATGTTTACCGAAGTGAAAACAACTAGAGATCAGTGCATTTGATGTTGTGCAAATTGCATTACAATGCAAAATACTTTGATCTAATTTCTATATAATGCTATGTACTTTCGAATCTCATATGTGATAACTCAAACATCTAGACCAAAGTGCGTACATTTTCATGCAATCTCTGATACCTAAATGTTTGAGATGTCACATCTAAGGTACCAAAATGAAAGGTTCTGAAAGTACATTACACGAAATAGAAATCAGACCAAAATACGTTGCATTTTTATGCAATTTGCCCTTTGATATTTTCAGATGACAGGATTTCATTTTCTATGATGAGATCGCAATCAACACAAATGAAGCAAAGTTAAAACCAACAATAATGAACGTTGTTTGAATCTTGATACTTGAAATATAAAATAATGTAACAATGTGGACATTGTTTTAAGACGATGTTCTCGACGGTACCTGCTCAACTCCTGGATATTTATCTGCAGCTGCTTCGATTGCAATTGAACATGAAATTTCTGCCGCACCACCACCATATACAATGGAATTATTGCGAATGAGGTTTCTTGCAACACATAATGCATCATGGATGCTGCGCTTGGTCTCCTCTATCATCATCTTGTTACCTGATTCATCAAAAATTGCAGAGATCTCAATGTGATCCGAAATACAGATTTTCATATTTAACATGTCTTTCTATTTTGTATATGAGGGATTTCCAGTGGGTGTTGGGTGTGAAATTATAAGTTTTGCATGCAATTCAGATTTATGCAGTTGTAAGTAAACCTGACCCAGCATCTTCTTAAGGGGGGAGATAGAATAAAAAGAATGTAACAGTAAATACCCCAAAAGATAGCAAATTTTACCTTGTATTGTGCTTAAAAGCCATCCAATACAAGAATTTCAAATGATGACCAAGTTAAAAAAATGATGGACCATGTCCTAAAGTCATGACCATTGGATCAAATTTAGTGGTTTGGTTAACCCAATATATATCATGTGATTTGTGTCACAAAAGAGGGTAGACACCACCCTCACTGCACCTGTCCCATGATCATCATGGGGAGGAAAACTAATGCATGCATCCCATTGGCAGAGGAGTGGTGCCCAGGCTTGAACCCGGGACCTCACTCACATTGGATTACACCCACACCTCCACGGCTCCACCGCTGGGACAGATCACATAAAAACACCCAGAGTGGTGAATGACTTGAGAAAATCAATTAAATATAAAGAAGCTACATGCAAATAGATCCAATATACTAAATATGATCAACTACCAGAAACATCACATATATGAACTTACCCCCGCGAATAAATATGGTTACAGCCCTTGAGTTTGCACAATGCTCGATATAAAGCATCCTGTCTTTTGTTGTACCAAATGCTTTTTCTCTAACCAGACCAGCCTGTCATAAAGGAGAGAGAATTATGTAACTTCACAACATGCAAACTGATGCAGAACAAAGAAAAAACATGAAATCACATTTTACAGAAATAAAATAATATGTTAAAATTGGAAGCATACAACAAACAAGTTAAATAAAGTGTGAGACATTAAACAATTTATCTAACATGAAACATGTCCTGTCAAGAAGGATGCAAAGTTGATAATCGAAGTAAGACACCAGGTGAAATTATGAGTAGACGAGTTATGCTTACGGCATAAGTTAAGAGCTTTCATATTTCAAGGACAGGTGTCTGTTTAATATTCTATATTCAATATCTGTTAAGTGTCATTACCCAGAGAAAAGCTGGACACACTGATTGCATGTGTTGGTAAAAAACAAGCAGCGATGGTTCAGAAGAGCACAACATCTTGTCACCTCATATTCATTAAGTGACATTAACAGATTTCAGATCAATAGAGCATCATGAAGCAACAACTCATTGCAATTAATCCATGGTAAATAATTAAAGTTCGAGACTTAGGATGGAAAATTATTTCCCTGCACTCACACCTAACCAACACAACACGGTATAATTGCAAACTGTGTCTTACCACAGCAGGTGCAATTTTCACATGTGCTTGTGCATATGATCAAAAAGAATAAACAGGGAGAACATGGATGAGAGTTACCTTGCCTAGCTTTTCAGGTGTCAACTCCTGGAACCTGGGAACAATTCTACCACCTATGCAATACAAAAGTATAGATAGCATGCACCAAGCCATTCAGAAACCACGGCAACATAATGAAATAAACAAGTAGACAACAGAAGGTCTTTAAATAGCTAATTAGTTTGCACGAACCAGTAGCTATTGCTATAAGCTCCAGTTCTACACCACCAACCCATCTCACAGCAGGCAAGTTTCTGTGCATTAATAAGTGATTTGCTTCATCATCAAAGCCCCACTGGCAAATAACTAATGTGGCACCAACATCCTGCATTGAGTAGAGGCTAAAGTTTTAGTGCATGAACTTCTAACAACCAAATCATAGAACTTCCAACCAACTCAGCGCAATGAATGTCAACCACAACATAACCCGAAAAAGAACCATACATTCCATGACAGTGCTTGATATTTATAATGCTGCATTACCTTGCATTTCTGAACCATGTCATCAAAATACTTCTGCTCTTGCAGACGTAAAGTTTGGAACTTCTCAACTGTATCAATGTCAACCTTATGCTTGGTCTTTGGCTTTGGAGGCTCAAACGGGCAAGTCAAGATGGCAATTTTGGCATCTTCTATTTGCTTTGGCATCTGTGGATGACTCATATCTTTGTCAACAAGAATTCCATGAATAAGCTCTGTATCCTCCAGTCTCCCACCTACTTTCCCCTCCACCTTAATGAGGTCTAAGTTAACATCCTTCCTCTCTAAGTCAGCCACAGCCATGACTGCCTTTACAGCAATCTCAGCCAAACTGCGCTTGCATCGTTTCACACTGACAGGTAGAGTTAAATCAGATAAATTAAGCACAAGTACAAATAAACAATATGAACTTCTGAAAACATCACACTGTCAGGAAACAACATACATTAGTTATCAAAAGCTTTCTAACTTCCACTAAAGAGATCGCTACAGTATGCTCTCACTGATGTGAAACAAAGAAAAGGTCACCGACTTATCCCTAACATAATCATCTCAAATATGTTAGATCCCAACTGCTATATTGCAGATTTTACTAACTGGATTTAAATAATCACTAAAGAATTCTCCTTATATGCTGGAATGCAGCAGATGAAGACTTGATCAAAGAACCACAAACTTACTGGACAATCAAAGTGCATTGCTAAATTGAAACTTAAACAATCATGGGAAGCAGTTCAGATAAATGGACAATTGACGATCAAAACAAACTACAAAGCTACTAGTCCTAGAAAGCACGCATTCCATTAACCATGAAATATAATGATTTTAGAACAAGTAACCCAGTTGGAGGAACTCACATCTTAGATGATAAGGTAGTCATACACGTTTGAACCAATTGTTCTGTATCTGTGGCACTGAACACAAATTTATGTGCTATTTGTTCCAAATGAGCAACAGCAATCCTCGAAGATATTTCAAAGCCTTCTGCAACACGAATGGGATGAATACCACGTTCTAATAGCCGCTCAGCCTGTTCTAAAAGCGCACCAGCCATAACAACAACTCCAGTTGTCCCATCGCCAATCTCATAATCTTGACTCCGTGATAGCTCAACCATCAGTTTTCCAATTTGATTGTCAACATCCATCTGCTCCAAGATTGTTGCCCCATCATTGGCTAGATAAAAAGAAGTTTACCATGAGAGAAAGGCTAGTGAACGCTGGAACAATAATTTATTCTGATTCTGCAGATAATATCCCTTACGTGAAAATTACAACTGAAACATATATATAGAAAGAGACGGTGATAGATTAAGGAAAAGAACAAAAAACATCGAAACATGCATATATGCATAAAGAGTTGCATATGTATACACACACACGTATATTATATATAAGATTATATATGTAGATACATACTTATAGTAATGTCGCCATCGGGGCTCTGGAGCATCTTATCCATGCCTTTAGGACCAAGTGACGTGCGGAGGATGCGAGCAACGGCTACGCCGGCGGAAATATTGGCCTTCTGAGCATCTAAACCCCTTAACCTGCTCTTACTTTCTTGTTCCCTTAATATGATGAACGGCCGGCCATATTCATCAAATGCTAACGCCATTTTTATCAATATCTAACACTGTCGCTCTCAGATCGACATATGAAATGGAAATCACAGTGAGATCGGTCAGTAGTGAAGTGAAGAATAAAAGTAGTTTTTGCCCTAAAAAACCCTCGCTTCAGGGTTTGTGAATTGTGATCATCCTCCCGCTTGTTCTTTTGAGTTTTCACCCGGTTTCCATTCGGGTCGGGTACAGTGGTTAGCCGCACTTGGTTTTTTTTATTTAATGATTTTGATTATTGGTAATGTTGCTTTAGGGGTGTTCGCAGTCTGGTTTGGATGATTTAACCCCTCAGACCATAAACCAAATCATAATGACGGTTTATAAAATTTTCAAACCAAGCGGTTTAACGTCAAGTGTCCAGACCGGTCAAAACAAACCACAAAAAAACGGTTTGGTCTAACCGGTTTAGGTGGTTTGGACATTTAATTGACTTTAAATATTAAACTTTAAAAAACATATATAATTTAGAATTTAGATTAAATACCCATTTAACAAAACAAAATATTCAAACAAATAAATGTAATAATTAAGTAGTTCTTGAGTCCAAAATCCAAACAATCCAAAGTTCAAACAAATAAATACATAATACATATTAGAAAACAAACAAATTAACAAAGTTACAACTCCACTGTGAGTATTGAGTAACAAAATCCACGACTTCACAACCTTCAATTATTGAGTTTTGAGTTCTTGACCAAACAAAATAGAAGTCAAATCTTAGTTGGTAGAATCACTCGGTTGATGTCTTGATGATGTTCGCCGAAATTAAACCATGGATCAGGAAAAATCGATAGATTGATAGAGTTCTTGAGGGATTTCAAAATTTGGAGACCGTCAATGTCAAATGTATCGATATGTTTACTAGTTTAGGGATTTTTAGGCGCCAATTCATTTGAATTTGATTATCTTATATGTTAGCCTTTATGTGGGGCTTAAGGATATATTTGGGTCATAGTCAATATATTTACCGGCGGATTTCCGACGGATAATAATTTTAAAAGATTAATTAAATTTCCGCCGGTAAATAATTTTGATTAAATTTAAATACAAGTCTAATATAATTAATCAAAAAATCCGTCGGAAGTCAATAGAAGTTGACTTTTTTGATGTCTCACGGAAATCCGCCAGTATATTTCCGGCGAATTTTGTCCACTAGAAATTGCGCCGGAAATACTCATTATTCTACACTAGTAGTGTAGTGATTGTTGTAACAAACAGTTTATTCATTGATCGACATGAAATGCTTAGCAGGTACATCACTCTTTATAAGCTAATCTTATTATCCCTCCAGAGGTGTAAATCCCACATACCTTATCAAAAGAGGCTACGTCAAATCCGATTAAGACCCTATCCATCCATAACACCTTACATCATGGAAGTGACCACCACATGCTTAAAAGAAAAACAAGGTTGCAGTAACCACATTCATGACTGCAACAACACTCGATATCTTAAAGGTTGATGCATCGCCGGCTGCTCCTGGTCCTTCGCCAGGAGCACCAGCTAACCCGTCTGTGCCTGTTGGAGCTCCTGCGGTAGCTCCGCCACCCTCACCGCCAGCTCCAGCACCATCACCGCCAGCTCCGGCACCACCGGGGGATTCGGATGAGGCCAGAGTATCGGACGCTGCAAATGCCATCCCGACAATGGCAAAGAAGACGAGGGTAAGAATGGTGAATTGACGAACAACCATTTTATTCGTTATATTCGTTTAGCGGGAAGACGCTGATCAATCAAACAATAAATGGGAAGTGGGTGTGGATGTGGATGTGGATGTGATGTTGAGCGGAACACAGCAAAGACTTGATATAAAGCATGAGGAGGAAAGGGATGAATCGTTAAGCATTAAGTTCGGTTGTCTTACGGTTTACATAGACTTTCAATTAGAACCCAACAAATGTCAATAAAATGGACATAAATTGGAAAATAGGAACTATTTGTTGTTGATAATTTTCCGGTAAACAGAGATCGATATATAAATTGGATTTTGATTTTTGACGGATTTTGAGATCTGTTTAGACCAAACCAGACCATACGGTTAAAAAAAACTCAAATCAAACAGGAACACTACACCACTCAAACCGACAAAAACAATTCAGTTTGATTTGATTCGACCCATTTGAATGGCCCAACGAAGATTTTGAAGACCCCATCATTACGTATATTGATAGTAGTGTTTTTTCATCCTTGAAATTTTTCTAGCATTAGCTTTTCTTAGTTTTCATCTTGATCATTAAATGTATAGCTGCTCGTATAGCTCAACTCGAAAGTTTTAATAGAGTTTTCGAACCGAGACAAACATTGGTGTTGTGAAGGTCGACTCGTTGAGTTAAACGAGTTTATATGTTCAAGATCGATTGAGCACGGATATCTCTGCTTGAATCATTGACACACCTCTCTTCATTAGATCACACGCTAAGTTTTACATTACATTTACTTGAATCCACACGATTTCAAACTTAAATAATTCCATGTTATGAAATTTTCCAAGATTTTAAAAAAGCTTTAAGATACTAAATAAGAAGATTCGCTTTCCACTTATTAAGGCGTTTTTATTAACATACATAAATGTGTGTTTTAGGGAATTTTTAAATTTGAATATTAAATACGTACCAGTTACTTTGAAATATATATGATAACGGATATGTTGGATACATCAACAACAGATTCATATTTACATCCTTCAAAAAGAAGTGTTGTAAATAAGAGTGTATTTGGAAAAGCTTTAACTTGACGTACTTCCATATTATGTTGCAAATCGAATCAAAATGCAACGTTATTTGTCCCGTTTCCTCTTTCAAGAAGCATACTTTCAAAATCCAAAATATCGATGCACAAAAACATCTCAAACGAAAAAGTTGTAACGATTTTTCTTTCAAAACAGATTTTCTGTTCATCAACATATTTGAAAATGTTCATCAAAATACCAATTGCCACCACACGACCTCTAGCGGATTGAAGTACAAGTAAACCTTGAGGGATTTAGGCCTTTACGGCTCCTTCTCATAGGTCATCAGTTCGAGTCGCTTCAAGGGCACCAGGGACTTTTTCCTGACTGTTATCCAGGTCCCCATTGAATAAGTCGAGGTGCACGCAAGCTGACTCAGACATCCACAGTTAACACAAAAGCAGAATAAAGATACATAGTTACCAACTGGGTACACAAAAGTATAACATTTCCCATTAATCATTATGTAAACAGCTACAAGCTAGTAAAGAAAAAGCTCCCTAACCATTTGAAAGTAATCTATGTCTATGAGGGCAAACTAGTCATTTCAGCCCTGAGAACAATGCTGAATTCATCTTTTTTTTCTTTTGGTTTCTTGAAAGAAAACGAACATAACATCTAGTGTACACTTAAGAAAGCTAACCTGCAAAAATGTACATGAAGACCAACCCAAGAAGAAGAGATCCGCAAACCAAACCGATGATGTGGATGACTGTGTTTTGGCTTTCGGATACGAGCCATTGTATCAATACATTCCCTTAAATACAGGATTTGTTCGGCATATACTTGCCCCATATTCTTCGTACTCGGCTTTCGTGCGGCAAGCCTGTCCATGACAGCACACACAATTAGGTCCAATTTGTTTCGGTAATAGATAAAACATAATCCTAATATAACATCAGGAGAAAGTTCAAATGAAAACCAACTATTTCATGTATTATTTGTATTATTCATAATGAATATGTACTATTCACAATGAATAACCTGACTAATCATGCATATCATGCATTTTTATCATGAATGTCATGTATTTTCATTATGAATACGGGTGGATAGGGTTAGTGAGTCGTTAATTAGGTCACCAGAGCCGGTTAGACTAAAGGGTGTGCAATTTCTTTACCTTTGCTTATCCAATTTGAAATTGCAACACTAATGTAAGTTTTTCTTATTGCTGATCACAGTGACAAAAGAATACCGTGTAAAATTCCGGTGTTGATGCAAGTACAGAGCCTCCAAACCATACAGCATAACTCTGAATAGGATGGCTGACTACGTTTACTTCGACTGGGTGTGCCTGAAATCACAATTAACAACAGCTTTTTCGTCATTAACATTCACATAATAGACATAAACACAGGTAATTGTTGGTTAAGGATGCATACTTTTACTTCCCTATTAGATCTTGCATAAGAAGCACGAACACGAGCATTCACAATTTTCTTTACGTCACGTTGCAACCTTCGTTGGAAATCTTTAAACATGGTCGATCCTCCAGATAACACTATATTCTGGAATAATGTAATGAATATCTTTAAAATGGAATAGCCGTGTCAACATTACAAACTGAAGCCTTCAAATTCGGATAGTAATTGCTACCTTATAGAGGGCCCTTCTTGTGTCAATGGGTGCCGACTGAATACATTTGTCTATTAGAGCAGGCAAAGGAGTCTTATAGTCGCTATTGTATATCTCCGGATTGAAGAAAATCTGTATGATAGATTATGTATTAGATTATATATCGTGAGATATGATAAAATCATGTAATCAACTCGTTAAAATCCATCATGATGAAGCTAGAAGACTACACTTTCAGATAATGTTCAGCTCCCTTAAATTATAGACAAGCTTAAGTTCCCAAGCTGCATAACTGTATAAGGAATCCTCATCATTTGCCATTAAAATTGCAAGAATTTCCATGGTGGAATATCCCATATTAATTGGAACTTCTTCTCTTTTGGAAAATAGTTAAGCTGAGATTACGTATTTACCCACTGTCATTGGGACAAAACGTGGATGATATTGATCCTGGTCTACAATAACCCCCTCTTTGACATCATTCGAGCATATACTACTAGGCTTTTAACTAGTAACCAAACATTTACCGAGTTATGCATTGAATCAAACATTGCGAGTTTTATGTGCCAGAGGTCTAGTTATGCATAAAATTAAAAGAACCACATAGAATCGGAAGAGACAGCATCTGTGGCTATATGAGTGCGAAGGCAGTTACAAAAAGTGATAGGGTACCGACCTCAGGTCCAAGAAACCGTTCATAGCCAATATCACATGAGAATGGTGCCCCGGTCTTTGGTTTAATACCTTTCCATTGTTTAATGTACTTGGATGGTTCGTTGTCATGCTTATTGAACTCCTGGACAATTACAGAACAAAGGAAATCTGGTCAAACCAGCTGGCAGAAACGAATATAACAATAATCATGTAAATAACAGATAAAGTGAACTCCATATGGTTGGTATTGATTTCTTCATTTGCATACTACGTAATATGATTACCTTGACAATGTCAGAAGATGTGTAACAATAAGTTTCCTTAACTTTTCGAGCTACTTCAAATGAATCTTCAGGTGAAATCTGCTCTCCTCTTTCCTGCAAAATATAATATCACAATGTGGTTAGTTCTCGAGTAGCAAATATGTTAGCGGAATTACAAAGAAAGTAGGGGGAACTCATTTATCACAAAATTATAGCATGGCGGCAATTTTAATATTCTGGACAGAAACTACTATTCATGAAATAACAAGTAGTTGAGGTCATGTTCTTACACTCCTTGTCACTATGGTGAGTTTCCTATGTGTTTCGTGAAGATCAGGTCACGGAAAAAGATTGTAGAGGAGATGGAACTCAACCTCAACAAGGTAGTTCCCATTCTAGTTTCTGAGGTTCAAGATAAGGAGAAACCAGGGCTTGGAATCTTCTACCAACTTCAATTGGATGATTCATCTGCAAACATGGACAACGCCCCTCTGACGCCAATAACTCGTGCCACCTTGATTCAAATGTCAATCCTCAACCTCACACCCATCCATTGCTACCATAATCATCAGAGCATCACAATGGTGAGGATTCAAATTCTCAATAATCTTATGTCACCTCTTGAAGCACCGAACACTCAAACCAACAATTCAAAATTCAAATTCTGGCGTCTCCCTTACCAGTCAACCCAAGCATTCACAAAAATGGTGGTGGACATCAACCCAAAGTTGTTAAAGGCTCAAGGCGCACTTAGGCGTAAAAGGGTTCCCGGGCCTAGGCCCGAGGAGCAGACATGAGGCGCCCACCTCAAGAATGCAAGGAGAGTTTCTAGGGATTACGACTATAAATGGCACACAACTCAAATATGCAGCAAGTAAAAGCCTCCAATGCAGCAACCAACAACACTTCGATAGAGGCAGAAGGAAGAAGGATTAACGAGTGAGATGTGAAGGAGAAGTTGTAAGGTCCGGGTATTCATAGAAAATAAGGCTTTTTTTGAAGTTCTAAGGATCGAGTATTTAATATTAAGGTTTGACTTATGTCATCTATTTAGTAACTCTTTTTTTAAGAAATCAGGACATGAGAAGATGAGAAAACTTATTCAATATTAGGGTTTGACTAGGTATCTAATAAATCTTTATGAGGCGCGCCTAGGCCCACAAGGCGCCTCAACGAAAGCACAGGGACTTAATGAGCCTCGTGAATATGCCGAGCCTTGACTTTAAGAAAGCCCAAGACCTTGAGCCTTATGAGCCTCAGAGCCTAGGTGCGCTTTTAACAACTATGCATCAACTATCTTTCATCCTTCACCATGCTCAAACCAAATGTCATTTCAAATCCAGTTAACCAAATCCATTCTCCTCCCATCCTTACCCCAACATCTCAACCCCAACCAATTGAACCTTCTAACCAAACACCTCCTATTAGGCATCTTAACCTTTTTGACAATGACAATATTTATCATGAGGAATGTGATCCCTTCGAACTGGTTTTTTTGGAAACAAAAGAAAAGAAGCGTAAGTATAGTGCAAAGGAAAAGATGAAGGAGAGCACCAACCAAAAAAAAATAAAAAAAAGGCAAAGGTACTATTTCTTCTGCGGACCAAGCCCACAGCCTTTCCAATTCAGTTATTACAGCTGACTGGCCAGACTCGTAAGATATATAGGACTCATACCACAACCCCTCGTCTTGGGCAAGTCTATAGCGAAACTACTTTCAGGAAAGAAGGCTGAACAGAAGGAGGAATGGTTCACCAATTTATTGAAGGTCTAATTCTAAGCGATAGGTCTGCTCAAGGGATTCCTACATGAGCATATTATCATGGAACACAAGGGGACTCAGCAACAAGAAAGAAGTTCCAATGTACGAGGAGGCCTCAGCAACAAGAAAGAGGTTCCAAGGTACGAGGCAAAAGCTCGATGCACCAAGTTGATTTTGTAATAATCCAGGAAATGCAAGCGCCTCAGGTCAAAAACCAAATTCTTAATTCTAGAGAATGGAGTGATATGCATACCGTATGTTCCGACCACATAGCAAGTAGCGGATATCCTTACAAAAGGATTTTTCAAGCCAACCTTTGATGGAATCATCAAGAAGTTGGGTCTTATAAATACATATGCCTCCAACTCGAGGGAAAGTGTTGGTTTGGATATAATCACAGACTCACAGTTGCAAATTAGTTACCTAACTTTTAGAGATTAGATTTCTCTAGAGATCACTTTCCTATTAATGAGGAAACACATTATTTATTTAAACACAGCCCAGTACGCTTCAAAAGGAAGCAGAAATATTTCACTTTTCTAAATTAAAAAAAATTTACAGTTACTAATAGATTTTGGAACATTTGTGTGGCTTACAGTTTTTGTATAGCTTTTTGATTGGTGTAGATCCTGGCTCAAGTACCACAAAGCAGTTGATCTAGGATCATGTTCCAACGCGCCGATTGTTATATATGCACATACAAATATATAAAAGAACATAACTTTTCACACAAAAGAACTAAGCAGAACATCATTGCCAACAATTTAATATATCCTGAGACAACTAAATGCTCAATCCCAGTTTCAACATCAACTCTCACTTTCAGCATCCATCCCAGATATTCGCATGAAATGAAAAAGAAGTCCAAAATCAACATACTCGCATGAGTTGCTGGATGAAGAGAGTAACGTCTTTTCCTGCAACTGGAATTGATTTAATGCTGCTCCCAATAACATAGCCTTCTGCAACAGGTACAACATGAGTGGCTCCATCTCCAACATCAACTACAACGCCTGTCATTTCACGCTAAACAAAAGTATAGGTTAACATAGAAGGAAAGAACTGGTAATAATTTTACCTTTTACATTTAAAATCTTTCTGAATATTAAATAGTTACTCATCCTAATAATTGGATTTACGGTAAAATCAAAATCACCAAACAGAAAGTTAGAAAATGATTAATTCCAGTGCCTAGCTATGACTGTTAATGAATCACACTGAAAGACAAATTCAGATGCAGAAAAGGACTTTTTAGTGGCGATGCTTAGTTTAACAAATAAAAGCAACATAGAACACCACCAAATTAGGATGTAACAAGTTTGGATCAATTGCCTTTATCCACCACCACATTGAATGTCACAGAAAAAGAGAAATGGAAATGAACCGAAATTCAAATCATTACAGACATACAATACAAGTATTCCATCAAATGGGTTTTACTGTGAGCTCCATAGCATAACATGCACATCATAAAAAACCACAACTAACAAATTTTGTCTTTTAAGTACAAGTGATCGTAGCTTAAGCTTTCATCAGCTCAATAATAAATCTTGGTGCCGCTAGAACGAGCATTACCTCTTTAAGGATATATGACAATGTGCAAATGATCACAGCTGATTTACATCCCCAGCACATGTTATCACTATACCTCCCTCTTGTTCTATTCTAATATCTCTTGCCTTCATTTTTAGAGAAACATCTTATCAGCAGACAATCTTGAGCTGTATATGTTGGAAGCTTTGTTTCAGTTTAGCACATAGAAGTTGCACATCAATAATAAAAGGAATGATAATACTATAAAATCAAGGTCAGGAAAAAAAAAGCTCTTATTACCACAGTAGAACTCCCTATGAACTTTCCCCTTAATCATCATTATTCTAATAAAAAGCATTTATCTATGTCTCGCTTTTGTAGCAAACATCTGCCTTGATAAGTCGAGTATCAATTTAGCATCTGATAGCCGTGAAGATGCATTCACCACGACCACGTAAACACTTAGACACCCGGTATTTTGAACTATCAAGTTACCAATCATGAATCCCTACCCGAGTCATGAACTTAAGTAAATGTTAACCAGACACACTAGACTCCAGATATCATTTTTTTGTTCTTTTTCCCAGCTAGTTTCATATGTTTGGCTAATTCTGAAAGCATTGAGTTCTGGCTAAGAAAAGCATTAGGATTCAGTTTAGAAAAAGCCAAAAGTATCACAATTGATAAGTTTAAACATACTCTAGCTTACAATAGAATTATCAAGAAACAACAAATTTCTATTCAAATACAAACAAAAGAATCCATAAAGCAATCCATCAACCAACCTTAGATGCGTTGCACCCTGCCGCAAGAGCAAGCACTGACTTCACTGCTATATAGAGCCCGGGAACATTGAAAGTCTCGAACATAATCTCACCTGTGTACTCTCTGCTCTCCGGTAAAGTCAGTGGACTCTCGGTCAAACAAAAGTAATGATCCTCTGGATCACACTGCAAATAATTAAAAATACAATGCTGCCAAAAATGTTCCATGGCATCCCAATTTTCCACCTGTCCTTGTTTAATCGGATATTTTAGATTGTGGGTACTTGATTTAGACATGGCTTCTTCCCCTATATAAAGATCAAGATCAGCCATCACCCCAGCGTTGTGCTGTGCTAGCCAGCTGCTGCTTCTCTTAATCAGACGACGGCCACCCTGGTTTATAAATGATTCATTAACAGCAACTACGGTTGGAACCATAAAAGATGGTTCCACGTTACCTGCAAATCCCATTTTAGTATACCTGCAATACCATCATACATTACATTACTTCGAACCATCTAATCAAACCGACGATGAAAATAACGGGTCTTTGAGAAATTTAATGGAACGGGTAGTGCGCAGCATCCATGAGTATTGGGTCGATAAATCTCAACGTGGAATGTCATCAAAAAAAGAGTCTTAAATTGTACAACTAATGCTTAATCAATATCTCTCGTCCAAGAAGAAGTGTGCTAAATGCATTACAAATCTTGGGTCGCTCAATTTTGTTTCTATAAGGTAAAAGTAACCAAATCTTGTTGCGTGATTTCATCTAATGCGCATAGAAGTAAGAAAATCAAAATTACCCGGTGCCGTTGTCGATAACTACTGCAGGACGAGATGTTGAAGGATCCATTATCAGAAACTGAGCAGTAGATAGAAATAAAGATGCTCTGAGAGTGGTGGTGGATCTGCGGGCGAGATCCGAAGTGGGGTTTAACGGAAAAAGTGATCATGGTCGTTGCGTTGGAGAAACCGGTTCTAGATATTCTAACACAGGTTGCAAATGAAAGTGGCTATTCAACAAACAATGGCGGAGATGAATGACAATGTCAGTAGGTTTAGCTCCATCCATTTGATTTCATTGAGAGAATGCGTATAATGCTGTTGAAATCTGTGAATTATGAGATTGTTTCACCAAAAATTCCCCTATCTGCAGATTTCTCAAATTCAGTACTTTATTTCGTAACAAAAGAATCCATTGCCCTTCGTTCCTCTCGTTTCTGTGTGCGTTTAGTGGATCGTTTTTGGGGATGAATAAGTTTTGGAATGTTGGGTTTTCGTCCCTATAGTTTGTCAATTTTAACGAATTTCGTCCTTAGCTTTAACGTTTCTCATTTTCTAACGGATTTTGTCCTCCATCAAACAAATGTTAACCTTTTCAAATATTCTCATTTTTCTATTAAAAAACTATAAGAACATATTTAGAAATAGTATATATATTATAACTAGAATAGTATTGGTACAATGCAGCGAGATGCATTTCGATTTTAAAGCTTTGTTTTATTTTGTCTTCGTTAATATTATAATATGATTTTTATGTGGTACTGAAAAAACGATAATGCTTTTGTTTTTTGAATAAAATATAAAGTTGTAGGTATTATAAAATTTTGAAAAAATATATCTATTTTAGTATCAGATTAAATATTTAAAAGTTCTTTTTTTTGTAATTTCTTTAATTTATATTTTTTTATTATAATTAAATTTAAATTTAATAATATAATATTTTATAAAGAT